GAGAGAGAGGGTCTCCTTGCCTCAGACCACGCCTGGACTTGAAAAATCCTTGAGTGGTGCCATTCATCATAATTGAATACCAATGCTTTGTTATGCACTGGTCAATCAATCGGCAAAATCTATCTGGGAAGCCAAAAGTTCGTAAGACATGCTGCAAAAAGCGCCAGTCTACCCTATTATATGCCTTTGCCATGTCCACCTTAACCATCACATTTCCTCCTCGCACCTTTTTATTCATAGATTGTACTAACTCCTGCGTTAGAGTTATATTTTCAACAATGTTTCTTCCAGCAATGAAAGCTCCTTGCTCAGCTGAAATAATTTTAGAAAGTAAAACAGCCATCTGAGATACCCGAATTTTTGAGAAGACCTTATAGATTACAGACCATAGACTTATAGGTCTGAATTTATCAAACCCATTCGGTTCCTCTACCTTCAGAATGAGGACAATATAAGAGGATGTGTAAAACCGATTAAGCTCTCCTCCTCCAAGGAAATCCTGTGTAGCTTCGACCACTTCCTTTTTAACAATATCCTAGCATTTGATAAAAAAACTTGATCCAAACCCATCTGGCCCAGGGAAACTATCCATGGGAATCGCAAAGATAGCCTCTTTTACTTCATTTTCAGTCGGCATAGCATAAAGATATTGACCCTCTTCATCAGTCAAGGTATCATCAATCAAACTAGATAAATTTGGTACTGCCCCCACGTGTTCTTCAATAAGAAAATTCTGAAAATATCTCACTACCTCCATATGTATTTGTTGTGGAGAAGATAATTGAGTTCCATTCTCTAGCATCATTTGGGCTAACCTCCTATTTTTTCGATGTTGTGCAATCACAACATGAAAAAACTTAGTGTTGTTATCCCCCTACCTAAGCCACCGCTTCTTTGCTACTTGAGAGAGTCTTATTTCTTCTCGCTTCTGCCATTCCGCTAACTCAATGTTGGTCGCTAAAAAGTCCTGTTCCACATCATACGAGAACCCCTCTTGCAATGACTCTTCAAGTATCTCTACTCTCTCCTGAAGCTCTGATATAATGTGGTCAACCCTTCCAAAGACTTTTTTATTCCACACTTTTAGCGCCAATTTAGTCCTTTTTAGCTTTCCAGCCAACTTTTGTAGACCTTCCAATGCCACATCCTGATTACAATCCACCCACGCTTCCTTAACACAAGACATAAAGGTTTCATGTTCACACCAAATACGTTGGAAACGAAAAGGTGAGGGTCCATATGAGACCCTTGGCTGCTTAAAATGTATAAGCAATGGACATTGATCAGATGTCTCCTTCGCCAACAATCTCAAGCCCATATTCGGGAACAAACTGGCTGCCATGGAATTAGTAAAAGTTCGATCAAGCCGAGGCCAACTCCGTGCTGCTCCATCTTGGCCATTGCACCATGTAAACTTCCTCTCCTCCGCATTTAGCTCTATCAACCCATATCTATCAATACAATAGTTGAAATCATCCATCGCCACCATTGGACGTGGTCTCCCACCCCTCCGCTGTGAATCATTTCTAATGATATTAAAATCACCAGCAACAATCCAAGGTAAACTGCTAAGCATAATGCTCTCCAACTCCTGCCATAGCAACCTCCTTTCTAGAGCAGAACATTTAGCATAGACGAAAGAAATTATTACTGTACTTGATCCCTTAGAAAAGATGTCATGTATAGCCTGGTTTGATGCTCCCACCCAATCTACTACGAACTCCTCTCTCCAAAAAATCCAAATCTTACCTCCCTCTTGCTCATTAGACACACAATTTGCAAATTTTAATTTTCTGGCCAACATTCTCATCCTGCTCTCACTTTGAAAAGGCTCTAACACTGCCAAAATAGCTACATTATGTTTTCCTACCAACTGACCGTCCTCCGTCTTGACGTGCCCACTCCCCGCACATTCCGAATCAAACATTCATCCATCATAGATTCAACTTGTCAGGGCGTGCTCGCGCCCTATGTGAAAACCTAACTGAGGGACCCTTAATTTTTCCTTTTGATATCCTGCCTAACTCTGAATCAGAATTACAATCAGCATGTCCATCCTCAAACTTCTCTCGATCAGACCCACCGTCTGTTAGATTTCCACATGTATTTTCCTGTTCAAATGTGTGACTTGTATATATCATCACCAAAACACCTTCCGTATCCTCTGTACCAGATTTAGAAGAGTTAAAATGACCATTCACGACTGTGTTTATCTCCTCACCACTCACGGGTTGCACCTCACCATCCTCTAACATCTTAGCCATACATTGAACTACATTATGTGTTTGTTGAGCAACTATCTCCTCATCGCCACAACCACGATCATTGGTCACCAAGTCATTGTCAATATGTTTATGATTTTGCACAATAACTTGAATACAAGCCTGATTCTCCTTGGATTTGGCATAGTTTAAATTTTCTTCACCTTCATTTACTTTCGTAGTTCCACTTGGCGTTGCATCATCAATCTGCTTAGTCCCACTCGGCTCTACAACCTCGACCTGCTTAGTTCCACTTGGCTCAGCAACATTAATCTGTTCTACCACCAACCTACCTTCATTTTGAATTTTTCGCCATTCCCGTCTTTCCTTCACCACTGGATCATCTTTTTTTATTTTTTCCTTTCACTGGCTGCACATCTTGTCCAGCTCTACAAGTTGCTGCAGGATGCCCCTGTCTTCTACATTTCTTACAATAATTGCCCATCTTCTCGTATCTTACTTCCTGCCATATGGTATTCTTGGATGAAACTGTTATCGAAAATCCCTCAACCATCTCATCCAGTAAATCCACCTCTACGCACATTCTCACCCCCGTTGCCCTTGTTCGATTCAAAGTGGCATGATCTGTACCCAAAAATCTTCCAAACAGAGTTGCAAACATCCGAAGACAATCCGTTCTATATAAGTGCATTGGTAATCCAGGAAGGAAGATCCATTGCGATGTTGTAGAAGGTTCTTTATTCAGATCAAAATCAGGAGTCCATTTGAACATGCGGAACTTAGCACCCGCTAAAGACCTGCCCTCTTGAGCCCAAACATGAAAAAAATCGGTTTCATTCTTCAATTGGATAAGGACGTGAACGGCATCCATAAAACTGATAATTGGAGCCTCTTTCAGCCCCTGCGTTTTTACCACCACCGGTCTCAAATCATCAATATTTGGCCGTGTAACCAAGAATTTTAACACTAGAGCAAATTTGAGATCATCCGCAAGCTTCTTTGTCTCTTGATCTGTAAAAGAAAATCCCAGCAGCCCATTAATCAGTGTTAGGTTTTTCATTGGAATAGGAGGAGATTTCATCACGTTTCCACCTCCCAATCGTGCAACTTCTAAGAAAGATCTCCCCTGCTGTACAGATTTGGTCAAATCTGTGTTTCCATCGGGATCCGACGGTGGCTCCGACCCCATCTGGGTTGTCACCACCACCATGACGGCGGGTCTCGAGACGAAACCTATCCAAATCGCCAAACAATTTATTTAGACATATACGTGGGCGTGTTTATTGGTCACAAGAATATTTGTATGACAATAGATCCGATTATCACGACCATCATTTGTTGTAATCCTTACAATGGCATCATTAGGAATTCTGTCACCAATCCTGCTTGGCGTCCTTGATTCACTGTGCTGAAATTGTAAAAAGAACCAAGAAAAGTACTGTTAAGAAATTTACCAGTGAAATAAATAGAGAGGTGAATGTGAGACAGTTTAGGATTCTCTAAACAATATGAAGAAGCACACAAGTATTCATTTACTTTGCCTATCAATTTTACCATCTGTAATCAATACTTATAAAATGTCCAAGTAAGAAAATTCACAGATAATTCCATCAACCACTTGTACAGATCTACTTAGTATGGTTATTATGCGTTCTACCACCTGCAAGCATACGAGGACAAGAAACCCCTAACGAATATGATCGGTGATTAAAATATTTCACAATTCAAATTATCTCGAAGCAGTTATTCATATTAATATCCATAAAGATTCAGAATCTTAAACTTGTACATGTTTCAAAAAACTCAGTTTGCCTTAAAAACATTTTAAAACTTTTAGCTTATCGCTCTCTCCTTTAAGATAAAAAGACTTAACCCCACCTCCAATTGCAAAGATTGTTACACTTCTCCCTGATATAAGCCTACTCTCTCCGATTATTTTATGATGAAGTGAAAAGAATTGCCCGGAGCATTCACAAAGAGTAAATGTCGCTTTACATTTTTTCCACTCATCAAACACCCCAGATGTGGTGCTTACGCTTTCATTGAAAACATAAGTAGAAAGTGATGTTAAACTAGTTGTTACGCCGTAGCAAAAATTTTGAAGGGGCTCTTGTTTATAATTAAAGGCAGTGAATATCTGCATGGTTCTTTTGAATAGATAGATGGAATTGGCTTCAGGGAGATAATGTATTGTAACATTATTGACCACTGTATGGCTAACAGCCGATTACTAGCAATTCTGCCTTCATGCAAGCGAGTTGCAGCCTGAGGAGAGTTTTTGGGATCTGCTCACCCTTGCAGGATCACGACCCTTGTCCCATTCATATAGAAATTGGGAGACAGTGCATTAACATTTAACAAATTCAACTCAATTATAGTTTAAGAAAGAAAGTAAAAGAGTAAATTTTACGTTGAAATGAGAGATACAAATTTAACAAGCGATCTTTTGTTTACCATTTCAAAGACGAAAAATGTTCCTTAAGGTATAAATTATCGTGTAGCTTGTTTATGTAGTTAAAAAAAAAATAAATAAATAAATAAATAAAATGAAGAAATGAAGCACTAGTATTATATAGAGAATCAAAAGTGTTATCGAGACCAATGTTCGATCAATGGTCAGTAAAAGAAAAGCACTTAATATCCAAGGAGAAAAGGCACCTCTAGTTACTATCTAAGGAGTTCAACCTTTTCCATTCCACAAGCAAGACAAAAGTCACCCATTATGTACAGTAAACTGTAAACCTTACACTAAAAAGTCAACTAACAACAACAAAGGAAACACACAGGGAAGCAATTCATTTTGCTAGATCACTTTTTGTTCTCTTTCTTTTTCTGTTCATGGACGGAAGGAACAAGCTATAAACTACTTCCCATTTGATTATCCAAGTAAATGGCTCCATGAGCATGCTTTGATAGTTACGAATCATTTATACTTCTATGAACATGGATAGAGCTAAAGAAAGTGAAAGAACAACATGACAACTTAGATGGGGTTAAAACTCTAGTCATTACAGGGATCTAAGGCCACTTTACAATGCTCACTAGTCTGTAACCACACATGCAAAATACACAATTTTCACCAAAAAGTAAATGCGAAACAGAGATCTGTTCAATAAAATGATATTTTGAGGTGACTAATATTGGGAACATCCAAGATTAATGAGGAAAATAAAAGTATAATCGATACATTACCAATGAAAAATTGACGAATTCAACAATGACATAGACGACAACAACTATTTTAACCACACATTATATTAATCAAACAGAATCTGCTATAGATCCAATTGACTTCTTATAGAAAGCATGCACATAAATATTAGTGTAAGAAACCATAGTCGGTAAAACAAAGTATATACAGCATCGTATTAGAAACATGTTCAAAACAAATCAAGTTAAGACCAACCTTGATTCAAAGTAATGAAGGACTTGCTTGCGAGATTTGCTGCATGTACAGAATTTACCTGCCAAAATTCCATCAGAAGACAGTTGGCAGCAATTTGTTGGATAATGGCAAAAAATATATATATATATATATATATATATATATATATATATATATATATATATATATATATAT